AGGAGAACGGAGCTGGAAAGCAGGTTAGTGGGGTGCTGAGGGAATGGGGATTTTGCAGTATATCCTTCCCCTGCCATGCCCACCAAGCCACGCCCACAGAGCACCATGCCCATCAAGCCACAGCCACAGCTGATCTTCTTTGGTTGCCCTGCACAGGAGAACGGAGCTGGAAAGCAGGTTAGCGGGGTGGTCAGGGAAGGGGGATTTTGCAGTAACCTTTGGCCAGGAGTGGGGAGGGAATAGAGATTTTACAGTATCCTTCCCCTGCCACGCCCACCAAGCCACTCCCACCAGCCATCCCCACAGAACCGGTAGTAAAAAAACTTTTCAATCCCACCAATGAATTAAGTTTGAACTAAGCCACTGATTGTCAATCGAGGATTGCCTGTATGGGGCATCCTCGGATTTTTTTTTTTTTAATTTATTTATTTATTTATTTGATTTGTCAATTGTTTAGAAGATAATAAGTACAAGTGTATACATAGTTGTGAATATATGAAATGGGTACATATAGAAAAATAAAAGAATAAGAGAAACAATAGGACAGGGACGGTAGGCACGTTGGTGCGCTTATGCACGCCCCCTACAGACCTCTTAGGAAAGGGGTGAGGTCAATAGTAGACAGTCTAAGGTTAAAGTTTTTGGGGTTTGGGGAAGAGACTACAGAGTCGGGTAGAGTATTCCAGACATTGACCACTCTATTGCTGAAGTCATATTTCCTGCAATCAAGTTTGGTGCGGTTTACTTTGAGTTTGTATCTGTTGTGTGCTCTTGTGTTGTTATGGTTAAAGCTGAAGTATTCATTGACAGGTAGGACATTGCAATGTATGATTTTATATACCATGCTTAAGTCGGACCGAAGACGGCGTAATTCGAGGTTTTCTAGGTCTAGAATTTCGAGTCTGGTGGCATAAGGTATTCTACAACGGGTAGAAGAGTGGAGAACTCTTCTTGTGAAATATTTCTGGACTTTCTCAATTGTGCTAATATCACATACGTGATAAGGATTCCAGACTGATGAACTGTATTCGAGTATTGGTCTAACAAATGTTTTGTTGAGTTTCCAGTCTTGCTTGCTGTGGGAAAACCTGACCTGTCCCGTTTGCTCCCAGGTTGTTTTCATGATCTGGAATGCCATCAACGACCCTCTTTTCGGGTACTTTCAGGACAACTCCCAGGTGCCCTGTTGCTCCCGCCGTCAGTTTTCGATTCTGTACGGGGCCCCCTTGTACGCCCTGGCTTTCCTCCTCCCGTGGTTTCCTTGGAAGCAATACGAGGAAGACGACTGGCTCTGCGGGCTGCATCTGATCGTGGCCTTGTGCGCCTTTGATGGCCTGCTCACGTTCGTCTTGCTGGCGCAGTGCGCCCTTTTCGCCGAAACCTCCACCCGGCACGAGAGTCGCCTCCAGCTGATTAAGTACAACCAGGTAGCCAGCTTGGTCGGCTCCACCAGCATCCTGTTCTGTGGTTTGATCTCG